ATAAGCGTATCCGGACGCTGAACCAGCTGAACCACAGCCAGGGGCAGATCTTTATGGAGATCACCGACCTGGGCGAAGCTGGTATCGCTGCCAGCGGCACCCGTGTTACGGTCAGATTTTCGATATAACTTCTTTACTTTAACTTCGATACAATACCTACTTCATGATTTCTGCATTTATTGTTGATGATAAGCCGGCCAATATCCAGACCCTTCAGCAAATGATCAGCAGGTATTGTCCGCAGGTAAAGATTGCAGGTACGGCCACCGGCGTCGACAGTGCCTATACGGCCATCATGGCATCGGCGCCCCACCTGGTGTTCCTGGATATAGAAATGCCCGGCGGCAATGGTTTTGACCTGTTGCGGATGTTCACAAAGATCGATTTCGAAGTTGTTTTCATTACTGCCTATAATCAATACGCTGTTCGGGCTTTTCGCGAACATGCATTGGATTACCTGCTGAAACCGGTGGATATTGATGCATTGCAGGAAGCCGTGGCCCGGGCAGAACAGCAATCCGGGCTGAAGGAAACCGGTCATAAACTGGAGCAATACCTGCAGCAACCGCAGGGGACGGGCAAGATCTCAATTCCGGTACAAGATGGGTATCTGTTCATCAATAGCTATGAAATTGTGCGTTGCGAAGGTGCGGGCAGTTATAGTCTCTTCTACCTGGCCAACGGGAAAAAGCAAATCGTAAGTATGCGGCTGAAGGAGTGTGAAGAGCTATTGCCAGCCACCCAGTTTTTCCGTGTGCACAACTCTCATATTGTGAACCTGAAATACGTAGCCCGTTACGTCCGCGGGCGCGGCGGTAATATCCAGATGCTGGACGGCAGCATGGTCGATGTATCGGTGAGCCGTAAAGATGCTTTCCTGGAAATGATGCGGCGGCATTCCTAAAAACCGAACAAGTCCGGGGGCGTTTCTACCGGCCGATCTCTTTTCATCTTTGTTCTATTTAGACACATTGCTGAACCAAGCCTGCACAGTCATGAACTAACACCTGTGATGTACACTTAATCTGCTAAAATTACGCTCTGTAAGGCTTACCGCAAATCATACCGGGTACTTTACATCGCTATATTCCCTGATTGCAGTTATGATAACCAGTACGTTCCGAAAGAGCGGCAAAGGCCACGTCGTGTTTGTAGGAATTTTTGAGTTCACCTCCTAAATAGCCAATAATGAAAAACAAAGTAAACCGTAATGCGGCAAAGCCCGCTGCCGGGCGTTTCAGCTCCCGTCTTTCCCTGCTGCTGCTGGCTGCCTTGTCACAGCTGCCGTTGCAGTCGGGCGCGCAGACCTCCCGTACCTATTCACAGCCAGCCTATAATTTCAAAAACTATTCTATTAATAAAGAAGGCACCGGCGGTACGATATACAATGCGCCCGGCGCTAATTCATCCGTACACTATATGTGGCTGAGCCCGCATGGAGATGTGCAGAACAGTGTTTATTATGACAACCGTGCGGGCGAAGACGACCGGTTTGTAGACATCAACAGCCTGGGCAACGGAGATCAGTTGATCACTTCC